TCTGCTAAGTGTTAGAGAATTGGTCGAAAAGAGGTTCTCTGTGGTTATGAAAGGTAGAGCCTTAGAACATTTCAAAATTCAGAATAACTTAGTCTTGAAATCTCCTCTGTCGAAAAATAGAACATTTAAGACCATGATCAGTTCGACTGAGGTACAATGTCTGAAGATAATTGTCGACCACAAGAATAATTGGTTGTGGCATCTGAGGTTTTTCCATCTGAACTTTAGGTCGCTAAATCAACTGATCACTCAAGATATGGTAACTGGTATACCAGGTCTTGAGATGCCCGACAAACTCTGTGAAGTTTGTCTAGTCGGAAAGCAGTCCAAGAAGTCTTTCATTTTGACTATGCCAATGAGATCATCCTGCATACTCGAAGTTGTACATTCAGATGTATGTGGTTCATTTGAAGAGCATACCATGTGAGGGCAAAGTTTATCATAGTTAGCTATACTTTTTTTAATGATGTCAAAACTTAGATAGGTAGAAAAATGTACTTTGGACGGTATCATTGTGTCACATATGCATGCCTTATTCCTCTTGAGTCAAACATCGGCCAAAAACATTGTTTGATGCATCTAGAAATTCTTCAATATATGTTTCATATAGGTTTGGTCATGTTTGCCTAGCTTGCTATATGATGGAGTATCTCAAAAGTAGCATAATACATGAAAGTATGCATTTTTGCATATTTTGTGTCTTTGAGTCAACTCAAACTTTGTTCTGGTCGACTCATACAGAAAGAATTTTACACGGTATACTCTCATGAGTGTTGGCGTCGACCCTCCGGTCGACTTATATTGTGTCCATTTATGTCTGTCTAATTTTGTATGCTTTGTGTCGACGTGTGATCTGTTCCGGTCGACGCAAGGTGTTATTTTCTGCATAATCTAAAATCCGGGTGAGCTCAGGTCGACCCTTCCCTATGTATAGGTCGACCGCTCGCGCGTTTTTAGTTAAATTTCTGTTATGTGAAACTGTCTAGGTGTTCGTTATGTTGGTTAATTGTTTTTTACTTGCATATATAGTGAGTTAGCTTATTCTTCAAAAATAACAAGAAAAGTGAAAATAGACACTGATTTTGTTCTCATCATCTTCATCCTCTTTCTTGCATTTTCTCAACAACTACACATAATTATTTTTGTTGTGCATTCTGCAATTTAGAGGTGATAACGTCCAAACATAGGATTGGTGTAATCGGGTTTGGGTTGAGATATCAGTGGGTTTTTCTTGAATAAAACTGTTAGGGTTTTGTCCTCCAAGAATCTTGGATTTTGGGGGTTTTTGCATGAATCAGTCCATCACAAATTCAGCCGAGCGAAGGTAATCGAAGAACGAGTGGCTTTGTCGGTTTAGTAGCGGTAACCGGAGGATTGTGAGAGGAAGATTCAGGTTCGAAATGTTGGTGATTGAAATCATTCGGGCAAGATTTGAAGACCGTGGGGTTGTTCAAAGGGTGTGCCGTAATTGGAGGTTTATTCATCGCGTTCGAAGGACTTGATTCAACTTGAATCAAGGGAAGAGAAGGAATAGGCTATGCATCAACAATTGGGTTTGATCGTTTGAATTCTATTGCTTCTCTTGTAAACATTTACCAATAGGTTATATATATACAAGTCTCAATTCTATTTTTAGAATTGAGGGCAGACGTACCCCAAGCAAGGACGACAGGGGAACTACCTCAACAAATTGGTGTTCTCTCTTTATTTTTCAATTGCTTAAATTTTGAGTTTGTGTGCAAATAATTTAATTAATCAAAATTTTGATGTGTGTAGTGCTGAACCATTTTTAGAAGCTTATTACAATCCTTGATTGTAATTGAATATTTAAGCACTTCACTCACATATTGGAATTCACTTGTGGTGCATTGCACACCAAGTGTTTGACTAATTGTGTGAACAACAAACACTTGCGTTGTCTTTTCAATTGGGTTATATTTTTCAAGCATTGGAAATAGTCCAACCTCATTGTGAATAAATTCTGGTTGATGTGTGTTAAAATTAGTGATTCTTAATCTTGTTTTTATCGGATTCCATAGGCTTTGCATATATCTAGTTTTTTCGATAAAGGTTCATTTTAGACGAATATAGTTCCTCGGCCGCTTCTGCCTAAAAACCTTTTAAAACCAAATATTGGTAGCGTCGACTCTATTTTTAACAAGTGATCTATTCAACCCCCCTTCTAGATCTGCGCCATCGTCTAACATACGATTGGTGGAAACAGGTATTTCGTCTCATTTGTTGATGAGTACATTCGGAAGCTTTGAATTTATGTGATCAAACGAAAGGACAAAGTATTTGAAATCTTTAAGAGATTTAAGATACTTGTCGAAAACTAGGGTGAAAAGAAAATTAAAGTTCTGCAAACAAATGGAGGTGACGAATACACATCCAAGATATTTGAAGCATTCTGTGCAAAATATGGTATTGATCATGAGATAACTGCTTCTTATACTCCTCAACATAATGGAATAACAGAAAGAAGAAACAATACCATATTGGACATGGCGAGATGCATGCTGAAGCCGAAGAATTCATCAAAATCCTTATGGGGTAAAGCTGTTTCGACTGTTGTTCATATTCTGAACAGGTGTTGTACCACGAAGGGAAGAAAAAGGTTCCTGAAGAAGTGTGGAGTGGCAAACGACCATCAGTGAGTCATCTGAAGGTGTTTGGCTCTATTTGCTACAAGCATATTCCTGATGTTAAGAGAAGGAAGCTTGATGATAATAGTGAACCTATGATCCTGGTAGGATATCATAAGAATGGAGAATACATGTTGTTCAATCCAATTAATCAGAAGATTGTGATGAATCGAGACATTATGATTGATGAAAATTCTGCCTAGGAGTGGAATTCTAGTAATGCAATTGACAAGCCACTGATGAGCGATAATTTCGACGAAGCAAGTAATGATGTTGAAGTCGAAGACACTGCTGATACTCCAGTCAAAGAAGAAGTCGAAGTAGTTGCCGACACTCTCGACACATTCGAAGTCGAAGAGGATATGGCTGACACAAGTCAGAGACCTCAAAGAACTAGAGCTCGTCCAGCAAGACTTCAAGACTATGAAATGGTTGGTGATGATGAAGTCACAATTGATGGGGAACTAGTTCATTTTGCTTTACTTGCAGGTGTTGAACCAACCAACTATAGCAAAGCCTTTAAAGATAAACAATGAAAGTCTGCTATGGTTGAAGAGTTACAAGCAATTGAAAGAAACAACACATGGGAGTTGGTCGAATTGCCAGCTCATACAAAAGCTATCGAAGTAAAGTGGGTGTTCAAGTTGAAGCACAATGATGATGGGTCAATAGAAAGACATACGGCAGGATTGGTAGCTCAAGAATTTCTCCAGAGAGCAGGACTCGACTACTCTGAAGTATTTGCACCTGTCGTAAGATTGGAAACTGTTTGACTAGTGGTGGCCTTCGCATGCAAGCAAGGCTGGTTAACATTTCACTTAGATGTGAAATCGACATTTTTGAATGGACCTTTAGCAGAAGAGGTGTCCCGTTGAAATCGAAATGTCTAGGAAGAGGTGTATCGAAATACCTAATAAAGAGGTGTATGTCAACGGCGGTACAAGTGTATGTGGATTCGGGAGCATTATGGACTCATACTTAAGGGGGAGTGTTGAGAATAATATGTCAAGTATGAGTTGGAGTCCCGCATTGGTTATAAATGTGGATAGTTGAGCATTTATAAGTGGGATAACTCATACACTTATCACCTTAAGGTTTTAGGTGGATATGTGGCGTCTCTCTCACTTGTGTTGCTCTTGCCCCAATATTGATGTTTCCTCCTCATGTTCTAACAAAATCCACTCTACTTGACCTAAAGTATAAAACAGTTCGCATGCTAAAAGGAAAGTACAATCTTTGATCCTTTTTCATATCATCTTGAATCTTGAACTGACTTTGAAGTTTGAATGATTACTATGTAGGTCTACTAGAATCATCCTTCAAGATCATCAATTATTCAAATGTCCTCAATTTTAAATACTTTGTAAAAATATTAGCACAAAGAGAAATGTCTTAGGCGCCTTAAAGGCACGTAAAACTTACCCTTATTTGATTGGATCCGAATGTGAATTTTTACATTCTTTAAAAATATCAATATTTGAGTATTTATTTACTTTTTAGTACAAAAAAAAATCTAATCAATACGAGTACTTATCTAAATCCTAGCCCTTTACCTTTTAGACAATAGAATCAACTTTAATCCTTTAGTACCGATTTTTGTTGTCTGAATCCACATGTCTCCTCTAAGTATTGATCTCAATGCATATCACTTACTACTTATCTTCACCTATGGAATTCGACACAAATCCACAAACCCCCAAAATTTGTTGCTTATTTGCTAAACACCTACACGTTTTATCAATACTTGTTTGTCACACGAGAGTCAAATTCCATCTATCAATCACACATAAATAATAAGAAAACATTATGTGCTATGTGTTTAGTGTCAGGTCCAATTACAACACTGTTAAAATTAAATACATTCACATAATTTTTATAAATTTTATTAGTATATATCTGATACATGATATACAGTGAGTCCAGATATATCATTATTTAATGAATCAAAAAAATAAATTTTTGAGAGACATTGCATTAACCTTGGTGTCTCTTTGCTTCTTGTCCACTGGAATCAACCAATGACAGATAGAAAACAGAAGAGAAGTTAGGAGTTAAAAACCGAGGTAGCAGCTAGGGCCAGTCCAGCTCTGCATGTTCTAAATTTCACTATCCCTTTTGGTTCCATTTTTTAATTTCACATTTTTCAGCATTAAAATTTTTCATTTTTGCAATCTGTCAATGCAATTAAACCCAACATATACAATATTACAACCCACCAAACATAAATTTAGTTAGGCTCTTCACCAAAAAAAAACCATAAAGTTATAAAACATTAACTGCAACATAAATTCTAATTCCAACTTTGTAATATAATTTTTTTTAAATCATACAAAAAAACAAACCTAAATAACTGAATTATAAGAAATCAAATGTTGAATCAAAACTATTAACTACAAAACTAACATCACTAATCTTATAATTAGTATAATCCTCACAAAAATAATCACTACTAATTCTATCATTAACATCACTAATTAAAGTCTCTGCATCATTGCCTCTAGCTATAATCCAATTTTCATCACATAATTTCCAACATGGATCCCTTGAACACAAAGCAAGTTTTTTGATCCTATCAACAGGACAATTCTCAAAACTGGTCTTACCCAAATCACCAAAAACAAAACTTTCCGAATCCTCTTCGCAATTCCAAAAGCCCGGTTCGAGAATACTAGTCGGCGAACACGAATCAAATTCTTGAATTTTCTCAAGAAATGGATGCTTCAACAACTGACTACAACTCCATCTCTCCTTAGAGTCCCTTACAAAACACTTTTTCAAGAAATCCTTTGCTTGTTCCGAAAGAAAACACGGAATCATCGGAACTTCTTCGCAATATGCAACACGAAACAGAACATTAACAGGGTCTTCTACATTGGACCAAGGTGAAAAACCAGTTGCCATTTCAATAACAGTGCAACCAAGCGACCAAACATCACAAGGAAAATCTTGTTCTTCGCCTCGCGCGGCTTCCGGCGACATATACATTGGAGTCCCCGCGATCGGCGCAATTTCATCAACCATTTTCGCACAACCGAAGTCTCCGATTTTGACTCCTTTTTCACCAACCAATATGTTACTACCTTTGATATCACAATGCACAACGCCTTTTGAATGCAAGTACTCAAGTCCTTCCACAATTTGTCTTGTGTAGTGTGCCATCGTCGGCTCGTTAATCCGGCCACCGTTTCGCCGAGTCTCCTCGGAGAGATTTCCGAAAGGCATGTACTCCATGAAGAGGTTGAACCAATTCTTGTAATTCTCCTTTGTGAAATTGCATCCTTTGTAGCTAACTATGTAGGGAGAGGACAAAGAAGACAAAATTCTCTGTTCTCTTAGTAAATGTTTTGAGTTTGAGACAGATGTCTCCGCTGATTTAACAGCGGAGACATCAGAGGAGCGGGAAGAGACGGCGAGGTAGACAGTGGCGGATGAGCCTTGTCCGATGATGTTGCCTCTAGTCCACTCCATCTCCATTTTTGTTTCTGTTCTGTTTTTCTGTTGTTGTTTAAGGCTTTGGTTTGATATTGCGGCCTTTATATAATAGAAGAAAAAATGGGCACACTTTGAATTTAGTTTTAAAAGAGTTAATTTTATTGGTTGGTTTACTTGATTAGTTGAAGCTATTTTCTTTTTGAGGAGAGTGAGTGTTACTTCAAAGGGGAGTTTGAGACGTGTTCAATTTTGGGTGGTTCTTGCTGCTTAGTTGGCAATTGATTACTTTGTGCCAAGTGGAAAATTTAATATATAATTTTTTCTTATACGAGAATTCTTATAAAAATTTATACAACATAATTTACATATATTTGAATTCGGATAAGAGACTTGTTTTTATTATTGAATATCCCTTAAATTATTTTTTATTTTTAGAGATCTTGAAGATATGTGCTATCAGATTTTCGTTATTATAATATTTTTATTTTAAAATTTAAAAATTTTAAAAATTTGTAGGTCAGGTTAGATTTTCTACTGAAGATAAACTTTTAGTAAAAATTAATGGATATTTCATACTATATTATAATATAGACTAAAGAAAATGTTTTGATGTTGACTTAGTTTGGTGAAAGTGAAAGTTAATAGATGTTTAAGAGTCTAGGTTAGGTGGATCAAAGGGTAATTAAGATTGGATTAATTCCTTGTTTTGTATCATACACTAAGCAAGAGTTTGAAAAATAGAACTTGATGGGTTTTAGTGGCAAGGTAGTGTGAATTGGGGTGGGTTCAACCACCAATATGGTTGGAGATTAGTATCTTTTGCTGTTATTTTATAACATGTTTCATGTATGATTTTTTTATAAAGTAATAGAGACATATAATAAGCTCCAACATTGGAATAATATTCTTGAAATGTGCAGGTGAGGAATAGTACTAGTCAACAAGTGCATGTGTTCTGTTAGAGAAAATTCACATATTTTCTATTGCAATTTTTTTTTTACAAAATAGCAATAACTCTTTAGTTAGAGGGACATAAATAAAAAAATATTATTTATTCTAATCATAAAAGGAAAATTAATAAAGGATTTGTTGACCCTAAGTGTGAGCAAATTAATCTTTAAATGTAAATAATAAGTATTTATGGTCCTAATTTGAGGCCCCTTTTTTGTGGGGAATGAGGATTTTGAAGATTTAGAAAGCAACACATGAAAGTCATTGAAAGGTGAGAGAGTAGAGTAAGAAAATTGGATTGGTCAAGTTGATGTAATGCTACAACTCTCATGAATTTATGAAATTAATAACATTTGGATTTCATTTATTTGTCATGATATCTTGTATATGGAAAAGTGAAACGTACTTCAACACAATAAGTTGTTGAAAACTTTATCAAGCTTTGTGGTAAGTATTAGAAAATTTAACTCCAAAAGTTCCAACTGTCATATCACTCCAATATATGTCTACTTCTAGAAGCTTAATCAAAATGTTGTTAGTTAAACCATGAATTTTCCTTTAATGGGTGGTTATTAATTATTGTGTAAGTAAACTTTAATAATGATATCGATTTATATAATGTGTAACACTAGTGATAAAAAATTTTTTATGAGATTAATTATTATATACTGATTTACAGGGTTAATTCATCATCATTTATTGACATTATTTTATAAATTATTAAAATAAAAGTTAAATTTCATTTTACATCAAACATCCATAATTGATTTTTTTTAAAGTAACCACGTTTTTCAAAAATATTACCAAATAAAAACATTATTAAAAAAATTTACAAAACCAACCACAATTCAACCTTGATTCGCTATATCATATGGCCGAATCATTCCCTTCAGAACCAATTCGCCATCGGATATGGCGTATGTGCATAAATGTTAAAGGGATTCGCCATCTAATATGGCGAATGAGTTGTGTAATTTTTATTTTTATTTTGTTTTCGTTAGGATTTTTATTTTTGGTTGACTATTTTGCTTTTAATTTTTCTAGGTTTTAATTTTAGTTAGAAACTTCAGTATAGCAAGCGGACATTATGTGTGGGTTAAGAAAGACACTAGTTATGAAGGACCTAAAGCAATATGGGTACCTAATAAGAAATAACTTGTTTTGTAGGTTTGCTTGAAAACCACTTCAAATCTTTGGTATCTTGATAGTGATTGTTCAAACCACTTCAAATCTAAAGCTTAAGGCCAAGGGTTATGTTACCTATGGTGACAATAACAAAGGAAAGATTCTTGGCATAGGCAAAGTTGGAGCACCACCTTTCACATCAATTGAAGATGTTCTTTATGTCGAAGGACTTAAGTACAACTTACTTAGCATAAGCCAACTATGTGACAAAGGATTCAAAATCGAGTTCACAAAAGATGAATGCTTGATAGAAGACGAAGTCACTAATGAGGCAAAGCTAAAAGATAAAAGGATCAATAATATATTCATGATTTCTCTTGACAATTTGTCTTTGAAGGTTAAATGTCTCATGGCGAACAATAATGATTCCTGGTTATGGCATAAGAGATTTGCTCATATACACATGGAACATTTGAAAAAAGTTGGTTAAACATGATCTAGTTGTTGGTTTGCCTAAGATAAAATTTATCAAGGATAAGGTGTGTGACGCATGTCAAAAAGGGAAACAAACCAAATCAACTTTCAAGTCAAAGAATGTGGTGTCCACTACAAGGCCACTTCAATTGTTACATATGGACTTATTTGGTCAATCGAGAACAAAGAGCTTCGAAGGTAATGTTTATGCTTTAGTTATTATTGACGATTTTTCTAGATTTTGTTGGACTTAATTTTTAGTACAGAAAAGTGATGCCTGTAACATCCCAATTTTCAATAACTGATTAATAATATTAGTTAATTGGTTTATATGATTTAAGTGAAATTATTGGATTTAACTGATTTATTCTATTTAGTAGAATAATATGGACTTACTAGATATTCTCTAATTAAGAATGAGACGGGATATTTTATGAGAAAATGAATTACTAAACATTATGAGAGAAGAAATAAATTGGAGAGAAACCGAAGGGAAGGATATATGAAGGGGGAGCGGAACGAAAATGTAAAATAGAAAACATGAAAGAAAAGTGGAGGAAGAAGAGAAAGTAGAAGGAAAAAGAAGGAAAAGTTTGGAAAGCTCAAGAACGACTTCTAGCTTCTGATTAATCGAGGTAAGGGTGGGAAGTATTGTTATCTTACCAATGTATGTGATTATGTATGGATTGTTTGGATTTGTTTGGCTGTTCTTCCTCATCTTCCATTCTAGGGCATAATGAGTTTAATCGGTAGAAACCGAGTTTGAACGGTTAGAAATGAGAATGAGTGGTAGGATTTAGTCGAGGAATATTGGGCTAATGCTACCGAGACGAGTTGGGTTTGAATCGGGTGGATTTCGATGATTTCAGAGTTTTGAACAATGGGGGAATTCTGAGTTCGCAGACCCTCGCTAGCACGTTCTCTAGGCGAGCGGGTCGCGAACATTCGCTGTGGCGAGCCAGTAGCAAACGGTCCCAGACTTGGGCAGTATGGTTTTGGGTGTTCTTCGCTGGTAGCTAAGGGGGTAGCGAGCATTCGCTGGGCCGAGTGGGGTAGCGAATCAAGTCAGTGGCTTTTGATTTCCTTCGCGAGCTTGCTCGTTAGGCGAACAGGTAGCGAGCACTCACTAGGCGACCAGGGTAGCGAGTGTGACAACATGTTGTTTTCTTATCTGTCCCATTTAATTGTTAATTGTTTGGTTCAATGATGTTAATCCTTATGCAACATGAATAGTTTGTGTGTTATTGTGATGAGACGTGTTGTGGGTAGTCTTATGGCGTGAATCCTAGATTGTGGTGTATGGCCTTTTGGCAATTATATGCATCGTTTGAATTAAACATGAATGCATGATGAATGTGATGATGTGTGAAGTATGCATGAGAATATATGTGTATGTTAATGATGTTGTGAATATGTGAGTGTGCGAGATTCTTACTCACTGGGGTAGAATGACAAGGTGTCGTTCCTAGTGTAGTAATCGCCGGGGTAGAATAACTGTGACGTTGTTCCTGGTGGGGTATATGTGTTGTACCCATAATCCAAATGAGGATTTGCGAGAGTTGAGGAGTTTATATGAGTCATATGGTATGTGTATATGATTGTTGTATGAAAGTGTGAGATGTGGCCGTTTGGCAATTATGTGTATAACTGTACGTACTTGTGTGGGATAATGCGTAATTGAATATTTTTGTGTATATGTATGCATTTTAAGAGTGTGTAGAGTCATTGTGCGTGTGTAGCATCATGATTGCATTCTTGTGACTTGATCCCGTGGAGGATCTGCAAAAACCTCGTGTGCCCTTGTGGGGTGTGAGCGATGGTTTATTCTTGATCCTGTGGAGGATCTGCAAAAACCTCGTGTGCCCTTGTGGGGTGTGAGCGATGGTTTATTCTTTATCCCGTGGAGGATCTGCAGAAACCTTGTGTGCCCTTGTGGGGTGTGAGCGATGGTTTATTCTTGATCCCGTGGAGGATCTGCAGAACAATTGTGTGCCCTTGTGGGGTGTGAGCAATCCTGAAACATCGTGTGCCCATGTGGGGTGTGAGTGATGGGTGAACATCGTAGGCCCGACGGGGAGTTACTTCGGTAACGAGCGATGGTTCCTTTGGTCCTTCAATTTAACCTGCTGAATGAGTCGGTACCGCATTTGCATCTGCATAGAGTCGTGAGTCGGTCTCTATGAGTTGCATTATCATCTCTATATGATGCATTGGTAAATAAACATGTTGTGTAAGTGCATGTGAATTGATGAATGTGCTTAAGTAGGTAAATGTGTGCGGTGACATATATGACGTTTATAATGTATTGTGGTGAGAAAATGTGGAATATATGTATTTGGTATTTGTGCATTTATACATGTGATTATATGCATTGTTATTATGATAATATTTATCACCCTTCTGCTGGAATGATGTCCTTCATGACATCGTGCAGGTTTCAAGGCGTAGTACTGCTCGTAGTTGCGAGGTCGCTATTGGTGTTGCTGTTTAGT